ACAAGGGGGGTCCGAAAGCAGAATTAATCTAACAAGCAAGTGGAATCATATGAGATGAAGCATGTGTGATGAATAGATTTGTTTTTGAGGTATTGGATCACACAATGAGAGAGATATTGAGGTTCTACAATAATAACTCTAGAAATGAACCATTCAGAGGAAAAATTTCAGTATTCGAAAGTGATTTTTGCCACTTCCTTCCAATTTTACCAAAGCTTCGAGAGAGAAAATTATAGGTGCTACAGTGATTTCCCTAAAATAGAGGTTGTATTGTAAAGTTTTTACGTTGAGCAAGAATAAGATATTGCATTCATCTATGTCCTCTTACCTAGATAGGGATACACAAGCTTTTTCTGATTAGATAATCAAAATTCGAGATGGAAAGCTTGGTCAAGTGATTGGTGGAATTGCTGACGTTAAAATTCTGACTGGATTCTTGATTCTTGACATAAGTTATCCTCCCAAGAGTATAGTACTGGAATTCAATTATCTGATTTTATTGCAGAATATGAAAAAATATTCATTTTTTAGGATTAGGCATCATTAGCACCCACTCTCGAAGTTGTTGAAATGATAAATGAGTTTGTCTTATTCCTCATTCTCAGTGATGAAAAAGGAGTAATTGAGTTATGATTCTTAATGGCAAGCAGATGCCAATGTAGGTGTTGATGCTTATTGGATAATATTTGAATTTTTGAATAAAATCAAATGTCCAGATGTTCGGGGATCCCAAACCAATTCAAAAAATAGTTTTGAAAAAAAGTGTACTGATTATGTTATTTGGATTGTATAATGGTACAAGATTAATTGTTGAAGAGGTACGAAAAAATGTTAACCGTGCAATCGTGGTTTCGAGAAATCGAGACGGGAAAAAGGTTTACATACCTCGAATAAATTTGGTACCACATGATCCAAGGCTACCCCCTAAAGTTTCAAAAAAGACAATTCCCAATAGTTTTATGTTTTGCTATGACTATTAACAAAAGTTATGGTGAAACATTATCTTTTGTTAGATTATTTTAACTAAGTCAGCATTCACTTATGATTAATTTTATGTTGTTCCTTCACGAGTGAAGAAAAATACATAATTAAAAATGTTTATTTTAGATGACAATAGAAACTCTTGCAACCATACCAAAAATGTTGTATACTCTGAAGTGTTTCAAAAA